TTTAATCCTATGCTGTGTTCGTAACTGAATACTATTTTTTTACATCTAGTTGCCTTTTACTTTTTGATCGACCGAAGGCAAAGGTAGGTTTCACATGCCGTTGGGTTATGAGATTAGCACTATTTAACTATTACTACTGAACCATTATTAACAGTGGAATGGTAAAATCTGGCTTGTGGACATCAACGTCAGGAAAAATGGATTGACTGCAACGACTCGAGTGCAAATTGGATGGATAGCAGGATTAATGAACCGCTTATGATCAAATAACTCTGTGTGTGCCAATAATTAAATTCTCTAAGGGTTCCGTGGCTATGCGTCCTCTATGGAATACGATGATGGAATTATTATATTTTTTTATTATAACTATTATTATTATAACGTTAATTTTCAAAAAAAAATTGAAGATAGTACGGCCTAGATCCTTTTTGTTAAGTAACTAAGACGGGCTTACTTACGTTTTTCTTCGCAGTCTCTTCCGGATGGTGAAAAACCACGATATTGGGAGGCTTATGGTTCTATTGCACTGGTTGCAACTTTAGTTTTCTCCATCGTGGCGCTCATGGTAGGAGAAACTGTATCCAGCTTATATGTCATCAATAATTATTTTAAATTAAGAGATCCAGAAAAAGACCCCTTAAAACATCAAGTCCCTTATCCCCCCCTCCCCTCCAAAGTAATATCTGGCACACAAGTTTAGTGGCACAGTGGAAGTTTAGTGGCACAGTGGTAGCTTAGTAGCTTATCCAAGTTTCCTTGGAAATAGGCAGCTAGTAAGAAGAAAGGGGCCCCCCCCCTCCCAAATAATGTCTCGTAAACAAGCCTAAGATTTCCTCGGGGGTGGGGAGGGACATCGTAAGAGTACAGTGACTTGACAAGAATTCAACAAAGAGAGCCCTGCCAGTGTACTGAGACCTTTGGATCGGAGTCGAGCTCCTCAATCATCAGCCCACCGCGCCTCCTTCATGAGATAATTTTGGATGTTAGTTCTGGAATAGGCGCGGAGTTTTGGTTGCTGTACGTTGATGGTCGATCGCTATTTTAGTAGTTCTATTAAGGGTGTGAATAGGTTTTTTAAACTTAGAGAATGCTTTAGAGATCGAAGGAAAGGATGAAAATTAAACTTCATGTAACCCACAGTCGAATTGTTAGAATCACAAAGAGCTGCATGCTCTTTCCCCTCTATCTAAACGGCGTGTTTAAGGTGACTGACCTATCATTGCGATGACATCGGACCTCTTGCTACGATTCATCTTTACACTGCATGTTATCTGTTATGAACATTGCCGCATACTCTTTAGGAAAATCTACATTTCAGCATCTCAAAGTTAATCTATTTGTTTTACAGGTGGTGTATTTTTTAGCGGTCAGAACCTACAGAAAAGCTGTCCTACACTCGGGTTAGTATTTGTGTTTAACAAAGAAAAGCAAAACTATTCTGAGAAGCAGCAAAACATTTCTCACTCACAGATAATGCAATTATTTTAATTGGAATGTACAATGTACAAATGATTGAAAGCACACGGTAAGAAATTCAATTTTTAACGTTTGCCAAAAACCCAGTGCTTGACTTCTCCAATAATGGGAATGAAGAATTAAAAATAACATGAATCGTTAATGCTACCACCCAGTTTGGAAAACAAGGCAAATAGTATGCGCGCCGACTTCTGTGAGTTTCGTTTGTGGAGACTTTGCTACTTTCCCTCATTGCCTTCACCGCCTTCGTACAGCGGAATGGGTGCGCAAGGTTGTGGATGCGTTGTGTAACAGTCACGTATTGGTTTAACGGACCCATCCGGTATCACAAAGAAGAGCGCCACCCTTGTCCAAAGAAATGCCCACCCGCTACCCGTTAGGAAGTTGTTGGAGAGATAATACATCACCTTTGAGAAGGGGGGGAGGGAACGTCAGTAGATGGAACCGAGCATGTATTATATTCTTTGACGACTTCGCACTTTATGTTTTGTTTTTCAGGAGTACTGACAAACCTAGAGCGGGTCAGCATTGATGCTATTCGTAACAAAGTCTTTCTTTACGTATTGGTGTTCTTGGTATGCTGGAGCCCGGGTAAGATATTTCTAACGTTTTAGTTTGGACAGTCATCATCTCGCGTATGCACGCATATATTCATTTTGACATTAAATGCTAACTACTGACAAACAAGATACTGCGAAAAGTCGTACGCCAGCACCTGGATGAATGAGGTCTGTTGACGAGCAAGTGAAGCACTTTAGTATTTGATCATTTTGTCACGATTGACTCAGAATTAAGGCTTGATTTCCGTCGTTTCCTCGACCCAGTTTTCAATCCTCCTTTAGTCGGGGGGAGATGTGCGGGTTCGTTTTCCGATCAGCGGCTGATAATCGACCCTAATTTGAAGTTGGATTCGTCAACTTTCATCTCCTATTTTGTTTGTTATTATTTTCAGCACTTGTGGTAGCAGCTTGTGACATCGCACCCAGAGTAACTATCACTAACCTGCAGCATTGGTACCTCATGTTCTTCTTTCAAGTAAGTGTTGACACTATTTTGGGCTTCGTTCTCTCGTTGATCCCTCTGGCTTTATTATAATTGCGCCGGATTTTGAATTGGGAAGGGTCTGTGTTCGAGTTCTCGCCAACAAGGCTCTCTCTTTTATATTCTGGGCAAGGAACCTTTGCATTTCCTCTCTCCACTCAGGAATAGGAATGGGTACCAGTGAATTGTCTAACTGCGCAGCCGGTGCCGGAATAAAAATGAGAGCACCGTTTTTTAGGAGCACGGAATAATTTACGTCAACGAAGTTGAAGTAAAGAAAGCAGGCGACTCGATTTTATTGGTGGAGTAGAAAGACAGTGTATCGCAGACTCTCTAACCGTGCTTGGAACTGACTGAGTTTGGATCTTTTCAAGACACTCGGATTTCTCTTTATTCCATGTTCATTGCAAATGTTAGTTATTGGTATATCCACACAGTCAAATCAGTTGAATAAAGCTTTTTGCGCGCTCTGATTGGCTAGTTCGGGAGTGATTGGCAAGTACTATAGACCTTCGTGCAGCGAAAGGGACAAATTCGCGCATGAAAAGTTTAATTTCCGACCATTTGTTTGTAAATTGAGAGTAAAACAATTTGTTTGGTTCTTGTGTGGTATAAATAATTATCAACCCTCGTGTCCGTGAAAGTGGCGGATATTGACACACTTCGACACACTTCGGGGAATAATTTTGAACTATGCCGGATGCTAGTCGCCTATGAACCTAGTTTATGGCCTAGCTTACTAAAGAGTTTTCTACGGCTCAATAATTGAAGCTTCCCGGCGCAAAATCGTAGCAAGCTAGGGTCTGTTCCTCAAGGGGTTGCCAGAATTTTCTTTGCTCGACGCTCGTGACAAACTTAAAATATCATAATCTTGATATATCTGTCTTACATAAAATTCCTTGTGGTATTGACGTCTTTTCTTTTGCGTTTTGTTATTAACAGGGTTTCACTGCACCTATGCAAGGCTTTTTCAACTGTATAGTCTATGGCTGGGCCAGAAAAAACTTCCGTGAAGCTTCAGAACAGCGAAGAAATATACTGCTGGAAAGTGAAGACAAATTCCGGTTTTCTGGATCTCGACGGACCTCATATGGATCACTTCGTTCGATGACAAGTCGTTGAGAGCAATTCGGAGAGAATAGCAAAGGGGTGGTGTGGAAGGGGGGGTCCTGATCCCGTTTTACGCACAAATTTTTTCAAAAACTTTCACCCGTCGTGAATATTTCATGAACCGTGTGATGGAAAAAGAGTGTCAGTAGAACAAATAAAAAAAAGCGAAGCTTAAGGCTTAACAGGCCAAGGCTTGTTAAATTAGATCTTTGAGGAATAGTGTAAAATTACGAAAATTATTTATTTAAAGCCATTTAGATTTTCTGTTCGAAGAAGAAGAAAACTATTTGACGACAAGTACCCAAGTCCTGTTAAGGGACGTGTTAAGTCTTGACCGAGAGACTCAGCAACTTATTCCATTTAAAGTTATTTTCATCCACGTTTTCAGCTGGTTCCCAAACTTAAGATAATTTTGGTGCATAGATGAACAAAACGAGTGTTATAATTAGTTTAATATAATATTTTAAGATATATTTGTCGATATTTTAAGTTCTCTACAACAAAGATGAGTGTACTGTATATATAAATAATGAATAGATGTTTATGCAGGCTATCTCTTTGCAGTGACGTAAGTTTGCAGCATTTTTGTAATGTCATGTTATTTCCGTCGCCATTTGGACAGTAAATGAAAAAATAATTGTATTTTACATTTTTTTTGCTGCTGTTATTGTATTTCTTTGACAAATCGTATTTCTAGTGCGTCAAAATCCAACAGTTTTATTTTCCTAAGCGAGGAGTGAATATTTCTTGTTTGGCTGGTCTTGAAAATTCGGTGTCAAACTGACTTCTTGTGATGGGGAGAGTCATAGCCGCGTTTTGATTGGTTCTTTACTCATGATTCATTGGAGGACAGACGTAAAGATGACGTCATCATAACCAACACTTTGCTTTTTTATCACATCAAGTAATTAGATTCCTTGTTGCCGTGGGTCTGTACAGTAATGGATCACAGACACGCTTTTGGCTGCACTTCGGCAACATGGAATCTATTTGTTTGTAGACAACTTCCCCTGACTTAAGTGGCCAAGCAGAACCAAACATAACATAGCCAATAGGAACTCAAACAAAAAAGAAGCAAGCCGCTTGAAGCGTAGGAGAAAGGTTGTCAGGGTCCTGAATCAATTTCAGTTCTCTGGGTCAATGTCTTGAGTAGGCTCTCTTGCCTCACCCAATGTCCTGGATACAACTGCTAGATTCCAATTTCTAGATAACGAAAGTCAGAGATTAAAAAAATTTCAAGCGAGTTTAGAGAGGTGCTTGGTAGATTGAGGACAATATATTGTGTTCAGTATTATTGGTCAGCAGTAAAACAAAATGGCGGCCACCGTGGGTAAACAAGCGACTAAATACAGGAATGGCTCCGACCTGTGATTGGATGATAAAAATAGTAAAAGTAAATAAGTTATAGTTTAACTCTTTGCTCGTGAGTATTGTTTACCGCGTGTCTCGAAGCGGAACAATGAAATATCAATGCTAGAGAAAACACCGATGTATCAAACAAGAAATGGTTACTTACGTAGCGAAGGGAAGGCAGCGTTTCTTGTTCAGCGAGGTCGTTCAGCGATATTCCGGCGTAGAAGAAGTCATCTGCAAACTAAATTCACTTAGTCAGTTCAGACGGACGATCAGAGACTGGAGCCATTCCTGTATTTCACCGCTGACAGGAATAGCTCCGACTCAAACGTTTATTAATTTTTTTTTCAATAATTTTTTAATAATTTTTAAACAATTTTTAAAAAAAAAATTTTAAAAATTTAAAACTAAACTAGTGAGCAGCGATGTGCGAACAGTACTTGTAAAACTTCTTTATTCTCTGTCGCGTTTCGTCTAACTGTCGTAAACTTCAGGGAGTTTTATAAGTCAACACCAAAAGCCTATATTTATAAGCCATTGTTGGCGGCTAATGCGGGGACCAATGACCATAAGGGCTTGGCTGGACCTACGAGCAGGAATAGGCAAAGCTGTGAAAAATTTGAAAATTTCTTCTGAAAATTTTTAAGGCAAGGTGAGAAATATTTTTGGGAGCCACGGTTTTAGCTAAAAATTTTCAAATTTGAAAAATTGAAGCGGTTTTTTACAGACGATGCCTGGAAAGTAGGTGGAAAATTAGGTTAGGATGGCTCGTGTGCTTTACAGAAAATGTGGTTTATGTTCTATTCATTCTTTCTTAAATTTAAGTGGTATAAATTCCTTGTCTAAAACAGTAGTGTGATACAATAGCAAACGAGATATACTCGTTCCAATACAGCGTCATGAGATGAACAGCCTTCATTAATTTTAGAACAAGTTTTATAAAATCATTTTACTCTTTCTTGTTATGGCCGGAAACTGTTCGAAGATTGGTTGTACCATCACTGCAAACAGTCAAGGTACTTCGACATGATTCAGTGCGAGAGCTACTGCAACTGGCTTGACTAGTAAGACGTTTTTTTGGTTTGGTTTGTTTTTTTTCCTTTTTTAGGTCTAGGGGAGTTGTTAGAAATTACCAAGCAAAATCAATCCGCGACTTTCTTCCTTTAGGTGTTGTGCAAAAAAAGATGAAGAGCCCGATGAATGGATTTGTCCTTCATGTGAACAATAACCTAGAATATCAGTTTATTTCTCCAGCAAAGCATGCTGTAAATTTAAAAACATTGGTCGCAGCGTCACGCAACATTGCGTGATTTTCCAAACGTGACATGCAGTTGCTGCATTATTTTAAAACTTAGAAACTACATGGCCCTGTAGTAATAAAAGAGGGCTTCATTCGCAAGCACTGTAGACTACAACCTAATAAATCGCTCTTTCAGTTTTTATCTCAGTGTATAAATTATTTAGCCAGAACGAAAAAAAAATTAATATACGTATGAGTTGGAGCCATTCCTGTCTGCGGTGAAATACACGAATGGCTCCAGTCTCTGGTCGTCTGCCTAAACTGACTAAATGAGTTTTGTCAGCGGGGCTTGTCAGCGGATGACTTTTTCACCGCCGGAATATCACTGAACGACCTCGCTGAACAAGATAGACTCGGAAAGCACTATATAACATCGTCCTAAACCAGATAAGCCCACGACATATCAGCGGCATCTTGTATGAGTATCCGCAGGTTACAACGTGACTTCCGCTTATTCTTGTTAAAGCGTATTTTACAGTGTACTCATGGAATAGGAAGTGCGTTTGAGCCAGTTTCTGGCAGATTTGAACAGAAAAGCGGGTCTTTTGTTCGAGTGTAATGACATTTTGATCGATGGCGCTGTTAACGAAATGTTTGGCTGGTTCGTAAGTTGTCGACCTGGTTTCGGTCGATCTGATTAATTGGCAACACCTCTTGGAAATCCTACACACCATCGACCTAAGCCTCATAGCTGCCAAGTGAGCAGAAGAACAATGACATCAAAATACTCGAGAAAGATAAGTATTAATTTTAATTGCATTTGTGTTAAACTTCTATGTACAGAAATTTCTGAAGAGGTACTTAATCAGAAGTTTATCACATGATAAGCCTTCAAACTTGTATTAAATAAATTGATGTACATATTTCACAATTTTAAGATGATTGTGTGATGACAATACACCGACGGTCAACATTCGAATATTCAGCTTGAGCTTCCTCCTAAATGTTAAGTATTTCAATTGAACTTGTAGAATATAACCTATGGATTAAATGTGGGTCTATAAGTATCATCCATGAAATTCTTACAGGCAATTTTCATCATGATATTAAAGCACCACAAACTCAAGAACAAGGAAAAATAATTGGTTCAATATGAGGAAATTTTTTCCAAATTTGGTCAACAGCAGCTGGTTATGATGAAATATGTGAGTGGTTTTAACCTTTCAGAAACAGGGAATATTTTGAATGAATAATAATGCAAATTATACCAACATTACTATCGACATCAGTAATAGTTACAGAATGTTATAATTACAGAGTACTGAACACTGTATTTTTTAAGAAAATCCATTTAAAAAGTCCATGACAGCATTCCATTAAAACAGTGCCAGTGCAAATCCCTCTCTGATAAAATTGTGATATTATAGTCTTGACATTGAGTTTGAGGAATGAGTGCCAGTGTAGCTTAAAGAAGCTCTACATGTAGTACATTTTAGTGGTCTTTTGTTGTGATGTATAATCTTTATTCATTCTTTATATATATTCGACATGACAGTGGAAGCAGCACAGTCTACAGTAGACTGATGATCTGTGTTAAGTTAAGTCACCTTAAATTCCCCACCAAACTTCAGTTTCCTGATTCCAAAAAAAATTTAATTGATGGCCAAGTACTTACCCTCCCCATGGGGTGAAATAAGTGATCCGTAGGTTTAGGAAGTAATATGTAAATACGCTCCTCTGTAGATATTGTTTGCTTCTTTTCTGACTCTAGGGATGTTCTCAGAAATTTTGACATTGTCTCCCTTCTACTCTTTGTGTTCTCTGAAATCTAATGATACAATGTTTTAATTAAAATAATATTTGAAAAATTGGTTTCTAAAATATTCACTCTGTTTCCATTTCAGGTAAATTTGTTTCAATTCTGCACAACGAAATGTCCAGGTTGTCTTATCATATGTCCACTTCACCTACATGTAACACAAGGCCCATTAGGATTAAGCGCCCTTTATTAGGCTAGTGATCATTCATGTTAATGGTAGTGTCCCCTGAACCCTTATTCAATAATTGAAATAAACTGACCTTATTTTCAGGATACTTGATTATTTTCCTTAGGTGGATCTTTGCTGGACAGTCACATTTCTTCGTATCCTGTACTATAAAGCGCTGTTTGGTGTTGTTATAGCAGTGATCAGCATTCTCCTTCTGAAACCAAATAGATTTATTGGATTGTTAGATAGAGCAGTCATATGGGAATAGTCAAGTTATCAATAAACTTAGAAGTAATGAAAAGTATCCTTTAAAATAGTACTTGATTCCTACCTTATAAACTGCAGTCACAGTGATCCTTTTTTGCGACTTTGCTTATTTTAACAAATAAAATGTGATATGTCCTTTTACTTGCAAGTGGTAAAAAAGAAAACATTATTGCCTGCTATTAGCCCTGAGGGAGAGGTGAGTGCTCACCAACTTGCTTAGAAAAATCAGTTGGGACTTACCACCTTGTTAGCTTAAGAGCAAATAGGTGAAGGTAAATCAATAACTATGTAATGCCCTATATATGATATCCTCTTTGGGAGTCCTTAAGTAATAATATCATCTTGTTTACATTCTTATTTAGTTAATTATTATGCATGCTTACATCTTTTTGTAGTCTCTTTTGAGCCTCCTTCCTTTTTGAGTGCCTTATATCTGTCTGGCCCATTTTGGCATTCTAAAACTTTGACCCCCACAATTTGGAATGGGATGCCATCAAAACTTAGTCTGCATCCTGTCATCTCCTGTGAGTCAGCCCATTGTATACGGTGGTTCTTAGCATTTTTATCTGCATTTTCTTTTATGTGAGAAGAGGAACCAAGCTAAGTTAGCAATACAATACATGTACACAAACACATACGTACATATGTACACATGGGTGCTTAAAATGGAGGGCCTCAAAATCAAGCCTGCCCCACCCAGATGTAGCCCAAGGACTGGTGTAATGGATGGGGATGCTGGCAGCTGTGTGTCAATAGCACTGAGTAGGGTTTTGACACTTTAAGCTTGATCTTAATTAATTAAGCATTTCTTGCCAACTCTTGCTGCAGGCTCACAGTAAATTGACACTTGAAGCTAAGTTTAATTTTAATTACATGTTAATTTTGAAAGTCTAACTGACCAGTATAAACCGAAGAATAATGATGTGTACATGTATTCTTAAGATATCAATAATTATTGGAAAAAGTTAAATCCCTTTTTTATTTTGATTTATCTATATTTCATGTTAATAACACGATCTCACTCGTCCCTGGCTTTAAATACCTATAGTGTCTAAATAAAGATATACTTCACTTTACTTTACTGTCAGTATGGTTTATTTTGTAAATCTTTACATGTGAGCTTAATTACCCAGCCTACTGCAATTTGAAAATCCTCCTGTTTGTTTAAATACAGTGAAGCGTGTCGTCGTAGCTATCTCGTACTGTTTTATGAGTTCGTCAGCGCTGCTTTCATCGTTAACATACCCGGAATAAGGGTCAAACTGTACGGTCCATCTTGAAGCCCAAGGTGTACTGTTATCAGCCATGTTTGTTCTTCTACCAAACATTTAGATTTCCCGCCAATATTTACCCGCGAGCCGCAAAACATAAATGCATGAGTGTTAAATATTAACTGGACCACCCCTTGGCAAATATATTTATTAGTAGCAAATAAGATGTTGAACAAAAACCAAGAGATCATGGTCAAATAAAACGTAAAGATAATTTATTACAAACAGAAAAGAACTGAATTTTTTTTTCCTATCGAAAGATTTTACAGTGCAAATTTATGCAAATGATCTTTGACCTGAATCTGCTTTTGGTCGATGATAGCGAGGTCAGAGGATAACATCGACCGAAACTATTGGGCCGGTCATATTTAAGTGTTGATCCTCCTTTTAACGCCTTTATAACAGGCTAGATTTTTTCTTAAATATGTGATCTAGACAGAAATTAGTTTGTACAAGTTATGGGAAGAATACTTTCGCAATAAAATATTGAAGAATACGACGCTTTATCGTCAGTCACACAGGTCACGGTCTCTTGATTCGCCGGAAACGAGCAGAAAAGTAGAGGACTCTCGCTACGATTCCGCTGACGTGTCATGGACTCATCTGGTTTGGGACGATGATATGTATTGCCTTAGGGGTGTTGTCAATTAATCAGATCGACCGAAACCAGGTCGACAACTTACGAACCAGCCAAACATTTCGTTAACAGCGCCATCGATCAAAATGTCATTACACTCGAACACAAGACCCGCTTTTCTATTCAAATCTGCCAGAAACTGGCTCAAACGCACTTCCTATTCCATGAGTACACTGTAAAATACGCTTTAACAAGAATAAGCGGAAGTCACGTTGTAACCTGCGGATACTCATACAAGATGCCGCTGATATGTCGTGGGCTCATCTGGTTTAGGACGATGTTATATAGTGCTTTCCGATAGACTCTGCCTTCTCTTCGTTTTGTAAGTAGGCATTTCTTGTTTGACTCATCAGTGTTTTTACGTTGGTATTTCATTGTTCCGCTTCGAGACACGCGGTTAACAATACTCACGAGCAACGAGTTAAGATATAACTTATTAACTTTTACTATTTTTATCATCCAATCACAGGTCGGAGCCATTCCTGTATTTAGTCGCTAGTGTGCGGTAATACCGAACTATCGTGTTTATTCGTTCTTGTCGGGCGAAGAGGCGAATGATTTCTCCTTCTTTTACCGTCACTGCCCCAGGAAAGATAATCCTTCACGGAGAACATGCAGTTGTCTATGGAAAGGTAGTTATTTTTAGCTTTTCGCCTTTGAATAAGCGCGTTTTGAATGGGTTTGTTTACAATACTCTATAGGAGAGAATTAATGGTTGCTATTTCCTCCTTTTTAGAAAGCCGTTGCAGCAGCTATCGATTTGAGGACAACACTCAAATTGGAAGCAACCAACGACGGTCAATTTACGCTGAAATTGCTAAACTTTGGGACAACGTGCAGGTGGAAAGGAGAGGAGCTACAACAAGATGTGGAAAAACTTGGTAAGGTGTCAGTGTAGAGTGAACTGTATACTTTTATAGGATGTCTGGAAATCTAAGTTCATGCTTGTCAAACTTGCAATCCCCTTCCAGGGGCTCTGTGAATTTTGCCATTTTCAGCTAGAAACCACTGGAGTGGGGCTGTTGGGGATAATACAGGGGTGGGTGAGTGGGTGGGGGGGGGGGATTGGACATGGGAAAGGACTTTTTATTTCTTGATTACATAAGCAGTACTGTTAACTAGTTAAAAAGGACATATTGTTACAAAACACTCTGCCATGATCAGGTTATGTCATAGCAAATCCAAACTTTGACTCTTTTTCAAGGTTCCATGGTAAAAACTACATCAGTGTGCATCATATCTTGCAAGGGTAAATCATCTTGAGACTGAAATAGGAATTGGTTGTTAGTCACACCTGAGATATATACTTGATGGCCTAAAAGTGAGTACCAGACTCCAGATCAAATGACATGGGCTGGGCCATCATGAGGTGTTTTCTGTCAAGATTCTTTGTTCTTACAATGCCTCTCTTCAGAGTGTCAAGCTTTGACATGACTCAATTTTCCCAAAAAGTATCATCAGATTTTTTTTTCTTTTTTTCCTTTTTTCATATAACTAAACTTGTAGTTCTAGTGGCTACGTTATGGTTTCAGGTTTCTAAATAGTGACTGAATAGATATGCTTGGAGCTGTGTTATCTGACTCATACCTTGAAAGCTTGAACAGGATGAGCCACTTGTCTCATGTTGATGATATAATCATTTTGAACATTGCATTGCGTGGACATCAAAATATCACCAGTCAATCAGTTGAGGCTCTTTCCTCAGACCCAATAAATTATCATTACATTTGAGAGTGTGCTCTAAAATGTCAGCCATTTAGAATTCTGTCACAGGCATGGTAATCAAAATGTTACTGTTGTTTAAATATGAGAGGAACTTACCTCACCCAGATATGTACTGCTGGATTACTTTTACTGTCCATTTTGCCTTTGAGTTCTCTGCACTTTTCTGGGACCAGGTGAATTGCAAATGATGCAGTGAGTGCCTTCTGCACTTTTTTGCATGATAAAAGTTGATCAGCTCTTCTTCTATCACATTGGTGAGTTTGAGAGTTGTTGATTTGGTTTTTTTATTTCTCAGGTAGAGATGGATCATGTTGGCCACAGGATGGAAGAAAGCTGTTCAAAAGGTCTTTTGACCTCTCTGAGGTCAAAGAAGTGGATGAGAGAGTCATTAATGATGCAATAAGTGTGTTTATTTACCTCATTGGTCAGATTGTTGAAGAAATTGACAGGTAGGCTTAGATAAGGGTGCTCAAATAGGTATTAAGTAGCTTAGTGGATGAGGGTCATGCTCAAATGATCATATTTCCACTACTATAATTTGAAACAAGGAGAATTTGTTAAATAATCAAGAGCTGTTTTAGTTGGTGATCATCTCCTCTATTCTCATGACTTTTGTGTTTGATTCAGGGGTGATATAGTAAGGAGAAAATAGATGCTAGTCACTCTTAGGGGCTAAAGGATTAAGCTTACTTGAACACTAAAATAAATTGCATTTGGCTAATTTCTATTGTTAAAAACCACTATTTAGCAGACACTGTACTGAACTGACACTGTGGTGTATGGAATTACATCCTTGAAACAGTCAATCAAATGTAATCAAAGAGTCATTGTACGGCATTTATTATTGTGGCTATTTTGCTGTTATGTTTTTGCATTACTATCAACAAATTAAAGTTGGTAAAGCAAGGTAATAAACTTGAACTGTAGATAGCTTTGTTAACAACATGGAACGTTATTGCAGTACAGAGTAAACATTGAATGTTAATCATAAACGAACATTGTGCAATTTTTACAAACCTCTATTCATTGGACACACTCTATTAAGCAGACACTTCAGAAGGTTCTGAGGGTGTCCACTTATTTGAGGTTTCACTGTGTAATGGTAATAACACTCATGCACATTCATGGAAAAAGCAATAAACTCATTGTAATATGAGCAACCTCAACAACCTTTCTGACAAACCTTGAGGGTTAAGAGGAAGCCTCAGTTACTGTTTTGTGTATGTGCATGTGTGTGCATACTCAACATGCCTTAAATTATGCGCAGCATGGATTTGTAATGTAACTGGAGGATCTAAAATCATCTCAACTTTTTTTAGGACAATTTCTGAGAGGACATGTGGAATTACTGTTCGGTGTACGGAATAGAGTTATGTGTCAGGGATGCAGTGAAGAATTTAAGATGTAAAAGGCATGGGTTTCTTAATTGTTTGTGCTGAGGTCCAAAATTATGTGCTAAACAATTATCCTTTTTTCTAGGGTTCCTTCATTCTCAGTGGTAGTGAACACATCTTTACCAGTTGGAGCTGGTTTGGGATCATCAGCATCATACTGTGTTTGCCTTTCCACAGCTCTTCTGGCAGTAACAGGAAAGATTTCACAACCCTCAATGATGAGATCCATTCCAGGTGATGAGAGAGAGCTATGCCAAAATGAAATGGCATCTCTGTCTGTTAAAGACCTGGAGTTAATTTGTAATTGGAGTTTAGAGGCAGAAAAGCTTGTTCATGGAAAGCCATCTGGAATTGACAACTCAGTTTGTACATATGGTAGGTAGAAACAAAATAGGATGTTCCTATGTTCCCAGGATACTAATGTACAGTGCACAACCCAACTCCCTTTAGGCCTAGCCCAGAGTTTGATATTATGGTAAACCTTTTCACCCCAGTATCAAAATTCTCCCTACTCTTCTCTATACATTGCCTTTGGTGCTGACAAGGAGAATTGGCTTAGCAATCAAAGATTCTTAAATTGATGATCATTTCCATTATTCTTATGATTTTAATGAATGACTCTGCATTACAACCCTTTCATGGAGTATTCTCATTTCATTTGATTAGTAGCTGATCATTCTTTTTTAGGAGCAGTTCTTACTTTCCAAGATGGAACAATTGAGCACTTGTCAAGGTACTATATAATAAATGAACATTTGAAAAGCTAATTATTGTCAGCATTATAATTCAAATCAGAGGTGTATTTATTGATATTGAGCTGCGGCAATTGAAGATAGCTGCTCTCACTTGAATTTTGCCTCCACTACTTGACTGGGTACCAAGGTGATGATACCCAGGCAGCCAAGCTATGGTACTGTTTGTGTAGCACCAGTGTGCCTAAAAAGGTACAGGTATATACAATCAAGGTAAAATAAATGTTCCAAATCCACTTTCTAAAACCCTTAAAGACTAGCAGCTTAAAAAAAACAGGGAACATATACCTACCAAAGGCAGTGGTGTAACCCCTGAGATTTTAGATAAAATTTTCTCTGAGAATAGAATAGTACAATATATAAAAGAAAAATCTGGTGACAATATGACAGTCTTTATAAACGAAAATAAGAGAAGTTTAGCTGAAGAATGCCTCACCCTTTGAACAACTGCAAATTACAACCTACCAGCTAACACTCCTCATGCCTTGCACCTGTCTCCAGCCCTCCAATGCAGGCTGACAAAATAGTTGTCTTTGCTAATTACACTTATTATAACTTGAATATTTTAATTTATTTTACTAAAATTTTCTTCTGATTTAGGAGTTTATGTCTTTTATAACAGAATTCCACAGCTCAGGGTCTTGATAACTGACACAAAGATACCCCGCAGCACAAAGAAGTTAGTGGCAGACTTAAGGGACAGATGTCAACAGGTGAAATGATGAACTACAGAATTTTTAACTGTTTGTTTTGTCAATTTTGTTTTCAGGCTTGAATGCCAGTTAGGCCAGTTACTTAACCCTGTAACTCCCAAGATCTGATTGTTAATTCTCCCCTCTTGCTGTTACACATTTCCATGTTAATTAGTTACAAGAATGTGGTGTTGGATCAAGGCAACAACTTCGACTTGATAAGTTTGGGTATTCTCATTACCTGTTTGCTAGACAATGTATGGATGCTATTGGGAGAAGATACATGTTAATCACCTCTAGGAGTTAAGGGGTTAAGTACATTTTCCAAAAATGAATCAAAGCTGTCTTGACATTATAATCTTTTCAACCACTCTTTATCTAAAAATCTCTAGCTTCCTTCTGTTTACAATCCTTTGTTTGATGCTGTTGGTGCTATCGCAGAAGAGAGCTGTGTGTATCTTGAGAAGCTGTATCAAACCCAAGGTATGTGTTCTTAGCAGTGTTTTTTTTCCAGTTAATATTTTTAATGTGTGTCAAAAGTCGACGTGGCACCACTCAGATGTGGATGGAATTTTCTCGAGTGATGTTAACATCAGGACTAGCCTCTGCTGACCACCAGACTTTTCTCTTTTTGCAGCAGCTTCACCACCGGAAGAAGAAAACTCTCAAGAGCACTATTGTATGTTGAAGGTAGACGTTTTTCCTCTTCATTGTATCATCACACTGTGCTGGCTTTCTAATTGCATGAGTGTGCCTTCCTTGTTTTACGATGGGATGGAAAAGAGGACTCTTTTAATCAAATGTTCGTCTCCTTTGTGTACGTGTTACACAAATTTGTTTGAGTGTCTCAATTTCTTCCTGGCATATTTTGCGTGACAGCGGTTGTTTCTTTTGTTTGCGTTTATAACTTTGCGCGGGAAATTGGCGCGCAGCCGGCTTAAGAAAAAACCCTTGCACGTGCCCTACGTTGGATCGCTGTGTTCGCCAAGCCTTCATACTTTCCTCGTTCTGCGCCAATAGTGCTCTCCGTTTACTGAACGCCTGGACCCGAGTATTTCTTCGCTTGAAGAGTTCGGAGGTTGTTGAATAAGGAAAGTAAAGCTAGGGGGGAAAGAAATTTCCTTGTTTGTCTACCAATCCGTTTATTTTGTTTATGTTTGTTATTTTGGACACAGAAACTTATTGACTTGAACCAACAGTTGCTTGTGACATTAGGAGTTAGCCACAGTTCATTGGACCAGGTGTGTCACGTGACCGCTAAACACGGTTTGCACTCCAAGTTGACTGGAGCGGGCGGCGGAGGATGTACCTTTACACTTGTCACGCCAGGTATACTTTGTCACGTTAGATACACCTTTGTCACGTTAATTTAAGTTTGTTGGAACAGAGAAAGCAGGCTTTGTTTAAGGTGCAATCGCGCCACGCAAATGTTTCGCAGGTTTTTCTATTTCTTTGTAATGACCTCTTATTAATGGTTCGCTTACGCCGTTCTCCAGCATGTTACAAAAATACATAATCCTGTCGGGAACGGGTATCCGACAAATAAGTCACAGGTTCGCTACACTGCCCGCGGTTCTTCTCGTCGCCCTTGATAATAACGACGTCCCCACTTGTTACAGATAGCTGCCTTTTGTTGTGTTTCATGTTGTGCCGCTCGCGTAGTCCCCTTTAGGTACTCGGCAGACCACCTTTTCCAGATCACATCTTTGCATCTCGCTAGATATCTTGCACGCTTTCTCAGATCAGGATTCTCTTGATGGCGTGCTTCAGGATCAGGCAACAAGTTAGGGCGTCCGAACTGTAACATGTTAGGGGTCAACAAAGGAAGCTGTAGATCTTCTTCTACATAACTCAGAGGACGGTTGTTCAGCGCGACCTCCACGTCAAGCAGCACGTCCTGCAGTTCTGCCCAGGTGAGGGTTCCATTTCCGACAGACTTATTGAAGGCCTGCTTGACAATACCGACCATCCGTTCAAATTGCCCGCCCCACCATGGAGCTCTACTGAGATTGAACTGCCATTTGATATTCATCTTGGCAAGGTAGTCATGGAGGCGCTCGTCTTGCATTACATTCCGTAGCCACTTTGCTGCAGCTACGAAGGTCCTACCATTGTCTGAATAGATTTTTTCAGGACGACCTTTTCTTGCTATGAACCGCTTCAAGGTAGTGATAAACTCTTCAGTCTCCATGGTCTTGGTTAATTCGAGGTACAAGGCTCGGGACAGGCTACAGGCATACAGGACTATGTACGCTTTTCCTTCTTTGTTTTTGCTGTCACGGTACTTGATCGGTCCGGCGTAGTCTATTCCAACAACCTGAAAGGGCGAGGTTCCCTCTGTTCTATCTGTAGGCAGGTTGCCTGGAGGAGGGTTGGCAAATGCTGATACATGAAATCTTTTGCATCCATAGCACCGCTTGATAAGTCGTTTAACAAGCTGGCGCAATCTAGGTACCCAATACGTCTCGCGTACGCTGGCCATGGTCAAACCAACTCCCCCATGTAGGGTCTGGTTGTGGAAGTGTGTCACTAGTTTTCCAGTAAACACGCCATCGTCAGGTAGGTAAATTGGGTAGTGGCCCTGAATACGTCCTCGGCACTCGAATATCCCATCTATGTTCTTCTGGAGGTTCAGTTTCATTTGGTCTTCATCAAACTTGATGGTGCCTTGACTCCTGACTTGTGATCTTCTTACCCAGAACTGCAACTGGTTGGCTGTCTCTTCGGTAGTGATTGGTCCGGTGATCCTTTGCTGGCGTTTAGCTCTGCAGTTCCTTGTAAATCGCACAACCCACGAGCAGATTCGGATGGCCTTCCATAAGTCGTACTTGTGCATCACTAGGTCCAGATCGTCATCCGTCTTCACAGTTACGCCCAGAACTCCCCTTATGATCTTGGCTTCGGCTTGTGATTCCTTGGTAGGAGTGGTGACAATATCTGCCGACCAACTCTCTGGGAAAGGTAACCACGTTGGCCCATGCCACCACAGATCTGAGCAGTTACTAATTTGCCCGCCTCGGCTACCCAGGTCGGCAGGGTTTTCCTTGGTACCCACGTGCCTCCACTGGATGTACTTTTTCTCTTGGATTTTCCTCACTCGATTGTTAACAAACTGCTTGTAATCTCCGCCCCCCTTGATCCAGTGAAGAGCTACGCTGCTATTGAGCCAACAATAAACACCTTCAACTGGGAAACCTTGCAGCGCTTCTTTAACGTTATCTACAAGATTGGCTGCCATGTGCCCCGACACTAGTTCGAGTTTTGGTATGGTGAGTCCTTTCTTCGCCAGTCTAGACTTTGCTGTTATGAGCCCTTGTGATAGCCCCGTCGCTTGATGTGTGACGGCGTAAACAGCAGCTGACACGCCCTGGCTGCTCGCGTCCCCAAAGGCATGCAGGTTGATGCTAGTGATCTCTTCTTGGTGCTGGGCAATGCTTCTTGGTACTTCTACCTTATCTGTTAGGTTGTTCTCCCAGGTTTGCCAACGGGTCTCGAGTCCCTGGGGTAGCTCTTGGTCCCATGGGATTCGAGCTTCACACATTTCTCTGTAAAGGAATTTCCCTTCCAAAGTGATTGGTGATGCTAGACCGAGGGGATCGTAGATCTTAGCGATCTTTCCGAGGACTTCTCTCTTAGTTGCTTTCGATATCGGGTCAGGGAAACTGGTTTGTATTGTATCCTCTCGTTTATCCCATGGTACACCAAGCAGCTTCGTTTCTCCTTGCTTGACTCCTAACTGGTCCTTGGCATAGCTCTGGTTCTCACCTTGATGGGTAGTGGGTAGTTCTTTTGTTGTTTCTTCGTGGGGTGAAGGCTGTTCCAGGGCCGGGACATTAGAGTGCCATTTGTGCAGTTCAAATTTCCCAGCTCTGAAAATGGACTGTGATGCTTGTTTCAGGTGTTGTGCGCCAGCCACGGTTTTATCACCGCTGATTAAGTCGTCCACGTAGAGGCTTCGTCGGATCTCTTCAACTTCCCTTGGGTAGACGTTCTGAAGATTTTTTAGGTGCTGATCAATCACTCCCCCAAGCAAGAATGGCGACGTGGACAAGCCGAACAGTGCTCGTGTGAAGCGTAAAGTTTCCACGTGTTTGGTGTCTAGGTCCTTGAGCCAGTGAAATCGCATCACGTCTCTGTCTTCCTCTCGGATTCTCACTTGTAGAAAAGCTTGCTTCAGGTCCCCTGCTAGGGCCACAGGTTGGAACCGGTTTCTCACGAGTACGTTCCAAAGTTTGTTTTGCAATGGTGGCCCAGTCTCTAGGCAGTCGTTGAGGGATGGTGCTTTCTCGTTCGCTCGGGCGGACGCATCGTAGACAATTCGAATCTTCGTGCTCTCTGCCGTCTCTCGAATCACGGCCTTATGCGGGATGTAAAACTCCTTCCCTTCTGGTTCACTGTGCACTCGTTCGACTATTCCTTGAGATAACTGATCTTGAATGACCCCGTCATACTTCTGCAACATGCCTGGTTGTTTCTCTAGCTTTCTGACAAGGTTCTCTAGTCGTTTCAGGCTGCCATGTTTGTTGTTAGGGAGGGGTGGATGATTTCCCTTCAAAGGAGGCCTGTTTCGTACCATCCTTGCGGGTTTCTCGTTAGCTGCTCCTTGAATTCTTCGAATACGAGATCTTGGTCGCCAACTGGATGGTCTTGTAGACCAAGCACATCAAGTCTACACAAGGCTTCATAGTCAGCCGCAGAGGTTTGGGTCAGGAACATGTTTGTGAGGTCAGATTCACTTCCGGGTGACATGATGGTCCATCCTAATCTTGTTAATTCGGCAATGGGTTCTCCTGGTTTCCCGATCTTGGGTGTGGTCTCGGTCTTTATCTGCGCGTATTCGTTTGTTCCGAGGATGAGATGTACAGGAAGCTCCTCTTTCTCGTCTACGTCATCCATTGTGACTTCCTTCAGGTGATCGTATCTTTCCACCAGCTCCTTGTACCGAGGGTTTTCCAAACTGAGTAGCGTTCCGCGGTCCACCTTAGTCACTTCGGTTCGAAGCTGAAATTCCCCCGTCAAACTGCTAATAACAACATTGTAAATTTCGATCTCCCTGTTGGTCGCTTGCATCATCATTTCGATGCGTTTGAACTCTCTTCGAACTGGCTGTTTCCCCATGCGATCGAGCAAGGCTGCAGATGCGTAGGAGCTCCCAGCACCGGTGTCTAACAGCGCGCGGCAATGGATTCCACCCACACTCACGATGACCACCGGGTAAGTAACGGATCCTTTCCCAGTAGCCACCAACATAGGCTCCGGCGATTGTTGAGGTATCTTCTCGGGACAAATTGACGAGTGGTGTCTTCGGTTGCAAAACTTGCAGCACGCAGAACAGCGACACTCTGGGGCCTTGTGATTTGCACCGGTGCAGTTGAAGCACAACTGTTTACGATTCAACTCCCTTCTGCGCTCTTGTAGTGTGGTCACTTTGTCGCAGTTGACGGACTGATGGTTTACACTTTCGCAGTAAACGCACGGTCTTCTTTTTGGTTCCCCTTGGCGTGTTTGGTAACTTCTGTTCTTCGGTAAAAAAGGCTTCACAGACTTGAACGGTGGCGGCTTGTCTTGTCCTTGTCTCTCTTCACTGTGTTTGGGCGGGTTTCTGATGGTCCACTTTCGTAATGCCTCAACAAGCTGCGGGAATCTCCATTCTTGCCAGTCATCATCGGTCCTCAACAAGTCTCCTCGAATTCCTTCTAGCTTGTTCAGTGTTATCCTTACGTAGCCATTTACCTCCCCGAGTTTGCCCATCGTTTCAAGTGCTTGAACATTTGAGCATAATTTTTCATAAAACTGCGACACCTTGTTTGGGTTTGCTCCGTAAATCGAAGGAAGTGACATGATGCCGTCAACATAAGCATTTACGATTTCGCTTTCTTTCCCGAATTTTAACTTCAAAATATTCTTTGCTCGTTCGTAGCCTTCTGTGGTCAACGGGAGGCCATCTATGGACGGTCGAACTTGCGGTTCCAAAAGCTCCTTAAGATAGGAGAACTTTGTGATTTGTGAAATATCTGCTGCATCAATTTCCGCTGTGAATTGACCCCAGAACCGCAACCAGTCGGCGGGTGTGCCTTTAAACTGAGTGATGACAAGTTTTGGCAACTTGGCGTTGATGGTTTGCTCCTTTTTCTCTTCAATTTTCTTCTCGTATTTTTGCTTTTGCTCCAGTTTGGCCTTTTCGAACCGCATTTCCTCGTCGTACTTTTTCTCCCTGAGCTGTGCGTCATGCTCCTCCTTTTCTTTCTCTTCTGTTTGCGCTTCGACGCGTTTGCATTCCTTGATCGTCACGTCGAGCTGGTCGATTGTCGCCTCAAACACACTAGCACGTTCTTCGATTTCTGTGCTCTGTTTCACGATTTCGTGTTCTTCCTTTTCTGCCTCAAACATCAGTTCTTGTATTTCAGTTTTCAGATCGTGGACTTCTTCAACTTTCTTCTTTAAGGTGTTTTGTATTCTCGCCATTGATATGACCGCTTTATTTCCGATCGCGGTGATTGCCTGTCCTTGGGTTAGTTTAAGGGTCTGCAGCTTTGCGTTGATCGCTTTCGTAAGCTGATCGACTGTTTTCGCCATCTTCTGTTCGCTGGGTCCCGTCGGAGGTGCCACTTTTGTCGGGAACGGGTATCCGACAAATAAGTCACAGGTTCGCTATCTCGCTCTCTCTCTCTCAAAACACACACCCCTCCTCAGCCGATCTTACTACACTGTTTTTAATCAAGTCCAACGTTCAAAAAAGATTGTCTTTCACTCAATATCAACAACAGCAACGCTTTCCGGTCACGCTATGTCACGCTTTCCGTCAATCCTTCGTAACATGTTCTGAAGAAAACTTATGCACACCTTTTCAAGCCCGTATTGTGTCTTGGTGACCTTCGATATTCTGCATATGATCTTGTGTAGGTAAAATCGTCACGTCTTCCGAAGAGATTATTTCGACCCTAAATAGCAAACAGTGGAGCGTTTATAATCTTCAGGAGACGTGAACTTTTTATTTACGTTACTTTGTAGGTCAAGAAATTTTACGTAACTCTTACTAAATTTCAACTTAACCCTTTAACTGCCATGAGTGACCAAGACGGAATTTCTCCTTACAATATCAATACAATATCAGGCAGATAAGTGATGAGAATAGCGAAAAAATCAATCAGGAGGTCAATTAGTTGTTGATCAAATAATAAATTCTCCGAACTAACATTATAAGAATTGTATGGCAGCCAGTAACAAGAAGTACTAATGAGATCTTGGGAGTGAAAGGGTTAAGGTGGCTTCTAACTTTGTATGGGGAGGTTAATTCACATTTAATTTTCCCTGTTGTTGATCTAATTTACAAATTTGTTGAGAACTCAAGGAAAGGGACGATTACTTCGAAGAAAAGTATGTTCAAGCCGGAGTTGTAGAGTGTTGTTCATTTGAACTCCAGATTTAATAGCAAGGTTTCTAGTCAGATACATCAGAACCGTTTCGGCAAAGTCCTTTGCGCGAGTCGAAAAGAATTTGCTATAAAAAAAATTTAAAAAAAAAAAAAAATTGATGGTAGCTTATCGCGTGGAACTCTGGAAGTAAGGCGCACGGAAATGAGGGACTGCTTGTAGTTTACTTTTTCTAAGATATCTTATGGTTCACTTTTATTCAGGTACCAGAGAACTGTCCGTGTCTTCAGTCACTCACGAACTGACCACTATTGGTTTTGATGTTTGGGATACTTGTCTTGGCGCGCAGGGTGTTACCTTGTCGCGCACCCCACCCACCCATCCCTCGCAATAGGTGAGTTCCACTCGATTTGTAGTCAACAAGGATAAAAAATGATGATGTTTATAAATAAGTAAGTTTATTCTTCTGTAAATGATGTTACTGAATGTGAAATATATATATATATTTGAGCTAGCACGGAAACCATAAGGTTAGTGGCCAAAATATTGCTCAATGTCAGCTTTCAAGCTAGTGTATTAGTTATTAACAAAATACTCAAAATGCGGAAGCCTGTAATTTTTTTTGTTATCAAATGCTACATTTCGTTGTAGATTTGATTCTTTTCTATGCCTAATTTCCTACGCTTAATTTATATCATATACGTACAATGAGCGACCTTTTTTGTGGGTTTCAATAAATAGATGTACGATTGCTCATGCGATTTCAGTCAACTTACTATTAATGAGTTTTTTCTCGCCTGCATTTTTTTGTCATTGCTAAATCATTATATTACATGGCATCTTAATGTGCGCAAGAAAAATATTTACGGTATTCCTGAAAGAGACTGCCTTGTCGTTTGTAGATCTGTTTAGTTCTTAGAGGCAGAAGTATTCGAACTTTCTTAACTTCAAGAAGTAACGTGAAAGCTATCTCTCGAAATAACTATCTTCGTTGTTTGTTTTTGATCGCGACCTGGAACCTCTCTTCAACTTGCGGTCATTTACATTGTCAGAATCAAGATGTTGTCTCAGTCGATCGGAAGTTCTGGCCCGAACTCAGGCGTGTCCTCGGCAATTTTACCCAGGTCAGAGGCTTTATGCAGGAGTAGTCACATCCGGGTACCACAGCTTATCGTGCAGCCCTCAGCCAGCCAACCACTGCGTCCCATTCCCCTCTTAGATCTTGGGACAATTCATTAATTGTTGCAACGGTTACAAACATGAAGACCAACTTGAGGAATTTGACCACGCTTTGTGATATACTGGTGGGTGTTTTATTTCTTCTTCCCACGTGTGGGAACATCTCGTTGCTGTACGTGTCTTCGATGGTCTTTTTGGCTCCAGACCAGGCACCAGGCCCCATAAGGCGGTATTGAGCCGCACAGCAAGGCCCGAAATAGCACTTGAAGGCCAGGAGAGGGTCTCTGAAAAAGAGTCGTCTGAAGTCTGGCTTACAGCCAATCATTTTCGCTAGTTGGTCCTTGTACGGAATACTGGATACCTGAAAAAAATAAAAGGGAGATAAAGATTAGCGAAAATTTCATTTATCTTTGATAAAAAGTACTGAACACATTTTGTGAACATTTAGAACATAAAATAGTCTAAAATAAATGAAACAATACTCTTCACCGTAAGTTTAAGGTTATTTAAAAAGGAAACGGACTCAGCTTTTAGTGATCTGTCGCTCGTTTCAAGAAGAATTCCTAAGAAAGGGTCGTGGTCTTGAAACACTTTTTCGAATTCGAGCCACATTTTCACAACGTGCTTTATCGTGCCATTCATTACCCATTCAGGTGTAGGATTTTATCTCCATGTAACTCTAAGTTCTTTCAATTTATTATCCAAAAAAATTGTGGCAGGAAGAACTACTGAACAGATTTTGGAAGTTGAAGGGACAGGAGGAAAAGAGATGGTTCCTCTTGGTAATAAAATTTAGGAAGAGAGTAGCTGTCGCTGAAATACAGTACTACGACTTTTCATACCTGGATTGTGAGCCTCCTTGAGGCATAGAAGGTTTTCCTGATCATCCTTTTCTCAAGTCCTATGTTGTACAACATGAGCTCTCTGCTAGGTAGCCTAGCCTTCCCATTAAACACGCGGGTCACCCAGCGTGCTTGCAACTCAGCCGCGGGAAAGAACGCACCAGAGGACTGGATCAGACCCATGAAAGCCATGGTTGACTTTGGGTGGTGGGGTGGGAACACTTGTTTGTACAGGGATACCTGGTTGTCGTCGACTGGGAGGATATACTTGTCCTTTAGAAACTCAAACCCGATGTCATAACCAGTGCACATTATCACAACTTCCAGGTTATCGACTCTAGTACCGTCGGAGAAAACGACGCCATTCTGCGTAAAATGAGATACTTTAGGCTGCAATTGGATAGTTCCGGTGGCAATACGGAGAGGGAGGTCATCACTAATCACCGTGGGGGCATTTAAAATGCCGTGTTGGGGACGGAGCCCGTACGTCTCGTGGTCAAACCTTTTTTGAGCGGTACGAATAGCCAACCATTCCTTGATCTTTGTCGGAAAGCTTTGAAAGAACCTCGTTTCCACGTGCTGGTCCCAGGGCAGTCCATGCTTCTCCAAGCGTGAAATTACCCAGGCTCCTCTGTGAGTACTCAGATAAACTTGAGAGGCGTGGCGGCTCAGTTCAACTGCAATGTCAGCGGCAGAGTTTCCAAGACCTGCGGAAAAAAATCCCCTATCAATACTGTGACGAGGAGATGTGTAATTTAAGATAAGTTCGGAACATTAAGGACTTCATTCATTCGAGGAATCACAGATGTAGCATTGTATTGGTTATTTGCTATGCTATAATTCTTGAGAAAACCTACTTCTAAGCGACGAATGGACGAATAGATATTGTGACTTTTAATGACAATTTCTCCTGGACTTGTTTTTGGAAGTATTCCCAAAATGCCATTATTTCCTTGACCTGCTGTGATTTTTCTCATTGTTATAAAGTGATGTTTTCAGTTCTTCTTTTATTCCAGAAGCGGAGTAATCTCGTACCGAGATCCTACCGTGTTATTGTAACTGAATATGTGGGACTTACAACCGCTTGGCCGTGAAAGCTCTGGGTACAAGACCAATAGCGGAGTTACTAGCGATAGTAGCCGAGGTGTTTGAAAACGAGGGGGGCTTGGGTCTGGCCGCATAATGAACGCCGCCTGTGCCTTAAACAGACAGCTTGTTAACTAGTTTCCCTTCTTTTTGTTTTGTTTTGTTTTTTTTTTTACTTCAGTAGCTGCGGTCTTGATTTTTGTTAACTTTTTGTTTCACGGGAAAAATGCCGTTGAAAAGGTGGAGCCGATTCGTAGATATTGCGACATTTGTCCCTCGGTTTCCAAGTCTCATTTGCTTTGTGCACGATTATAACAACAAAACATACTTTAAGTAATTAGAGGAAATTTCCAAGGTGAACTGCTCATCTATATTGCACTCGAGTCTGCGAGTTTGTCTGAATTTTTCTCCCCAGGTGATCGAGAAGTGCGTCGTTTTTCCTTGTAATATAGGCCGTGATATAGGCCACCAGATTATAATCAGTCGACTGAGGCTAAAGCTAATGAGCTTCTACCAATTTAACCACAGAACAAGGAAAATTACCCCACTTTTCCTGAATTCAGTTTACTAAAGGGGCCGTGGCCTATATTTAGGAGAACGGTGAGTATATTGCCAAAAAAACTTCATGATGTTATGTTAATATAATTCATGCGAGAAATATTCATTGCCATAAATATTTAGCCTCGGGCCTTGGGGTCAGTTTCAAAAATCTAAGTAAATCTAAATTTCTTTCAAACATGTTGGCTGATGAAGTTTCACACAGTCTGTAAGAGTAATCAGTCCTCGATTATTTGACGCTTGGGAAATTCATTCAAATTTTTTGAACACGTTTTTATGTCTTGATATTGATCGATATTTGCTTGTTATTTGGAAACTAACTCGTTTTCACTTAACCCTTCCGTAATCTTCTCTGGCATGATAAATAATTAGTTAAACTTTGTTTTCTAGAGATTTCGCCGAATTCTTTGGGTAATTCTTTGGTGAATACTGCATTGAGTTGATAAAATAGTTACCGCACTATTCCTAAATCGAGCAGAAAAAATTAAATAATTCAGCGGTATTGTCAAAAAGCCAGTATCCAGGCGATCATTTGGAAAATGCGAGTAATCTTTGGTTTTAAATACAGTTTGTTGTCCGCAGAATGATAATTGATAATCTGTCGCCTCAAGCCGGATGTAGCTGGGTAAATTTGTACTCTTTGAAAGCAATATTTCTGATAAACGCTCCTATGCGCCGTCATTCCCTAAATACGTGTAATAATAGTGGTTTTCAGGTTTTTTTTTTTACCATATCCCCAGTAGGCCATGATTTAATCCTAATCTAAAGTGTTTACCATAAGAGCAGGTGGGTGTCGTTAGTGATCTGTTTGAAATAAGTGTTCTTCACTTACATTCTTCGTCGCGGTCTCAGTTATTTCTTTACAATGCCTATCTCCCCCATAGTGAGAAAAAAAAAATAGTACTACGAAACTGCTCTTGAAGACAAGTGTCTCTAACTGCTATATAACCTAGATAATCTATAAGCAAATTTGGCTTAAATATTCAAGTGGTTTTCCCTTAACTCAAAATCAAAATTGCTTTGTTTAAGAACGACAAAGCTAATTTGGTAGTGTATTGAATTTGTACTTTGTGGTATTGCGTCAAGATTTTGCTGCATTAGTTCTTTTATTGGCATTTGTCACTATGGTGGTTGTATTGGTTCCGTGGCTTTTTCAATCAGTGTTTTTGTTAATGTGTTGCTGAGAACTTCATTGAAGATTCTTTGCTTAACTGTTGGGAGAATGAAGCCATCAAAATCCAATTGATATCGACGTAATTAACCATATATGATGAAATGAAAATTCAGTTAGCGACGGTATTAGAAGAAAGCGGAAAAATCTCCGTACTCCTTACACAATGTGACTCAATTTGATGGGTTTTCTTAGGAATCTGGGTAAACTCGAAATACTTCCTAGTTCCTTCTTCGGTCTGGTGTAGTTTCTAGTTACGTAATTATCGCGTATCGCCTGAGTTGCTAAAACCATACCTCTGACAATTATAATTATGCAAAGGCAATGAAACTCGCTTCGAAAGATTCACCGTTCAGTTCACTTTACTTACAATCAAGACGAACCGATGAAACTCTGATAGCTAAACAAGGTGGGAAACCCACACACAAAAATCGAATTTCGCCAAATATTTTGTTTGCAGAAACTTACCGTCCATGCAGTTTCCGCACAATTCTTAACCTGAGAAAATGGATGGCAATCAAAAATTGCTTATTTATGGAAGCATGAGTTTTTTGAAATAGGATTTCCGACAAATAGCAAGCGTTTATAGTATTTTGGATTCCATAAAAACAAACTTACCTATGACAAGGACCGCTTTGCCTTCAAATCCTCGATAACTTTTATACTCGTGGCTGTGGAGTTTGCGTCCCTGAAATCTGTCAATTCCGTTGAAGTTTGGGGTAAATGGCTTTGAGAGGTGACCATTGCAGATCATTACGCCGCCGAAAATAGTTTCGTAAACAGTTCCCTCGCCATTCGCGAAAGTCACTTTCCAGTGTCCTGTTTTCCGGTGGTCTGAGGTTCGGCTGATGTCCAGCACTGTAGCATTGAAGTGAATGTGTTTGAGGAGGTCAAAATGCTTTGCATACATATGCAGGTACTCTATCACATGGCCATGAGGCATAAATGGCGGAAAATGCTTTGGTGCTGGAAAATCTGAAAAGCAGGTCATTTCTTTGCTAGTGTTGATGACTGTAGATTCATAAACCGAACCGCTCGAACCGTCCACATGTTGGGAAAATTTCCAGAGTCCCCCGATGTCGGAGCATTTCTCAAAGCAAACTGGCTCGAGCCCTTCGTCCAAACAGCATTTTATGGAGGTCAAACCGCTCACTCCTGCTCCAATGATGGCGATTTTCATGGCTAGCGTCCTCGTGTTCCGCCGAGTCGGTCGTCTTCAACACAGTTCTAAGAGATGTTCAGGATGTCTGATCGCCAGTCGCGGAGAGCTTTCAGTTTGAGTGTTTATCTCTCCTCGGTTGAAATCAAACTAACAGCGCTCTTGAGATACGTTTAGTTATAATTAACGCCAGCTCTCATACCATTGACAACTCTTTTACGTATGAAAACTTTTGTATCCGGATATTGGTGATATTGCGCAGTGCGCTATCTTTGTGATGGGATCCGGAGATATTTCTAGATATTGAATCTCACTGTATTATAGCCACATGGTCGTAAATAGAGCTTAAAGCGCTTGAAATAAAACAGAATTTCGTGAAAAATCGCTAGTTGTACTCCTTCGTGAAAATGTGTTTTCTCGGCTTGTTCAATGTGCAGCTCTTACGAACGAAAGATGAAAACTGTGCGTGATTTTACTTCAAAAACGAAGGCTTTTTGACACCTAGAGAGCGAGAACAATAGTCTCATTTAGTACCAAACTATTAGCCATTTAAAATCATTACACCGCTTAGAAATTTTTAATTAACCAATTGTATATTTCTATTTAAGGAACCTACGAAGTCAAGGAACGACTTCCTTTCGCTACGCTTCGACAAGAGCAAACAGATTTGCCAGAGCTAAATCTTTTGGAACTGTTTTCCGGTTAGGGCGTCTTCTAATGCGCTCTCCTGAGAGGCTTTTTCCGCTGCTCAAGGCTCAACAATATCTCGTTTGTCTCTTTGACAAAAGTTGTGGTTTGTAATGTATATGCCTTTACACAAATTAGCTTCAAACTGCTGGAGATGAATAGCGAATCAGCATGTGATAATCTGCACGAAACTGTTGGTGTACGAACGATATGCAGATTACAATAATTTTATGCGGAAGGGTGTGGCCTAAAATAATCCCAAACCCATTGTTGATGTTTTTACTTTAGCTCGGAGAGGCGACTGTTGATAGAAGAGAATATGTTATCATTATGCAATCAAAACTTACCTTTTGTTATGTTAACTTTAAAAAGCCCGCACACTCTTGTAGTGATTGTCTGGCCAGTAGCTAGCCAGGGTCATAATTAGTAGTACACTGTAACATATATTTCTAGTACTTTAAATGGACACTTTTACAAGTATCATAAAGATCGAAGATGATATTGTTTTCCGAGATAATCTTGTTTTATAAAATGATTTTGATAATGTGAATTTGCTCTGAAGAGGGCTGAAGCTCAAAAAGTCAGCGTGAGAAATTATTTACGGAGGCCAATTTTACATTATCAACTCAGTTGATAAAACCAAATTATAACACTGACGCTGCTCCTTGGCCCCTTTAGTCAGTTTTTTTAAAATTATATTGTTGGGAATTTGTTTGATGCCTAAATACTTCATTTTTTATATATTTCAAGCTAAAGTGTCTAAGTGCGTAAAGTGTAAGCCTGCAAACTTATCGGAAGTAGATCAACATTAACCGATTCTAATAATAAATCGCTCCACAGTTTAAATTAAGATACATACATATGAGCTTAGTATTTGGCCAAGAGCACGTACTTTGTGGTTCATTTAATAGAGCAACTGACCTCAAAATTGGGAATGGCTGAACAGAGGTTTCTTACATCAAGCTTTTCCTCTCCCTTTTGAAAAGGTTTCACATCTGAATTGACAGTGTAGGCCGTTTTTTAGTCACTTTTACACCCGGCCACTTTAAAGATTTTGATCCGTTTTAGTTGAGGGACAGTTTTACAAGAATGAAATGAAGCTCAGTTGGACGTGCTGTTATATTTGGGCGAGCGGTAGTCATGACTTAGGGAAAATTCTCGATTTTTTTCCTGGTGAAATCTGGAGGCAAGTGAATACGGATATCACGTAAAGATTATCCTAGAAAGTTCCAGACTTTTGGAGTGGTCAGGTGTTTCGAAAGACAAACAACAAGAGATGATTTTAATCGCGAAAGATTATAGCAAGTGATAATTTCAGAAAAACAACATCAAGTTAGTAGTCTAATATCTATCAAGAAAGCTGACTGTGATGATTGAAAGATTTATTTGTCTCTTTTGTTAAGTTGTGGGTAGTTAAAAAAGTAGTACCCCTGTGGTGAGCACTGATATGTCGATAGGTCTGTGAAAAAGAGCGAACAAGGTAAAGATTTATCGTAGTCATGTTTAATTTATTGTAGGAATCTCATAAGTTGATATTGGTAACCTGAAAAAATTGATTGATCATGGAAGATAAATAAAAATACATGGCTTTTCACGTTTGAAAACGCCGTTTTTAGTAGTCAGAAGAAGAACATCTCACAGATTTCCAATAATCAATGATTGAAAACGGCGGAGAGAGGCTGGTTAAAATATTGCTGACGCCCCACCTGCTTTACGCTACACCTCTGAACTCACTGCGCCTAAGACAAGAAAGACTAGACATTGATTACCACATATCAGCTTTAAAGTCAAGATTATTTAACTTTGAACAATTTTCCCTCTGTGATGGAGTATTTTTCATCAGTGACACATACTCTCATTAGGAGTGCTTAGATCCAAACGGAGTTTAGCCTATCACCTAAGATTTCTCAGGAGCGCGGGTGCTAACTCACTGAAGCATAAATACTCCGAGAGGGACACGTGTTAGCCAGGCTTTTGAAAAAGGTTCATATGATGAACATTCCACACAATGGCTGGATTTGAATGTCGGTGTGAAGTTCATAGCTATGATGACGTGGTAATCATCAATGATAACAGGCTGACCTCATTTTCGAGCGGACGAAATTGTCATTCTTAAGCTGGCAATGTAGCTACCAGTAAACAATATGCAAATGTCAACCTTCAAAACCCGAACCCGCATTCAAACCTCTTTTTTTAACGAACATAACTATAAAACCGTCATTCGTAGTAATGAATCTTACACAATTACAACCTTTTTTGCAATAGCCGCTTTTGCTTGAAACAGTGTAAAACGGCAAAAGCAACTGCCATCAGAATTTGCAAAAAATGAAAACGAATATTATAAACGCAGGCTTAAGCCACGAACACATTTCTATAAATATAACTGGCTGCTTTCGCGCCTTACGACGCGGCCTAAGCATATTGTCAAAGTGCCATGTTTTTCCGGCATTACTTCAACGAAGAAGCTAATGCATTTGTTTTAATCTCTTTATAAATCAGTAAGTATGGTTTGCGGGTTTTCCCAGTATATTGACCACTGGCCTTGACGATTCTTTTCTTGGCTGATGCAATATTTGGTTTTCCTGTTGTACTTAACAGTAACCGCAATATCTGCGTAATTATTTCGGACGCGTTTACTCTTTTGTACTTGTTAACAACACTCCTCATAGTTAAACTGTGAGAAAGGTTTCTTTGCGACCAAAGCAGCATAGTAATGTCTGGTTCACATGCAAATGCAAAGTTAACGCAAACGCAAACAGAAAGGAAATGTATCGAATCTTATAGGGAAAATCTATTGTAAAAAGCACCACTATTAGGATTAGTCAAAGTTATGGTAAACAGGGTTTTCAATGCGAGTCGGCAACCAGTGAAATTCCCTTTTATGTGAAGTTAATTGCCACCCATTTTCTCTAAATTTAACAACATCAGGGTAGGAGTTATCTTACTGCCTCGGGTCTGCAGAGATGAAGAGTTAAAGCTAACGGTGCTTGCCCTTAATGCAGTTTCGATTGAGTGCCAAGAAAGCAATTTTAAAGTAATCACAACAGCCAATTAGATGAAAGGAGGTATCGAAAGGCGCCAATAAGAACTCAAAGTGAAAAAAAACTGTTGAGTGAAGCGCGGGAAAACGCGGGTGGCCGAGTCGTGGGCGATTATGAGATCAGTGACACCACTAACTCGCTTTGTTTCCTTCCACCACTCTGACGGGAAACACTCCTTGTTGCACTCTGCGCTCATAGTAGTTAGATCAACATTTCTTGCCTACATGAATGCAAGAGAGAAACAGAATGAACTGGTGTTTGAGCTGAGACGCGTACTTCTAGATTGTCTAGAACAGATGTTGTAAGATTTCAATTTTATTCAAAACATTAAATCTTCAAGAATACGCCCGTATTTAGGACGTATTTTTTGTTTATTTATGAAAAAATTACAGCAGTAGGTTATTCTTCATACACTTTTCTTTTTGTGCATATCTCCGAAAAAAACTTTGAAAAAAATCTCTGATCCTTTGAAAAAGTCAGTAAAAGTCTCTGATCCTTTCCAAATTATAGTGGTAATGTTTCACAGAAAAATGGTGCTGGCAAGCAAAAGTATGCAAACAAAAAGTTGTCTATAAAGTTAATATCATCGTTTATCGCAGTTTTAGCTAGGGAATATTTGATGGATTTTTAATTCACGATAGCAGGGTCTTCCTCAGCCATGCTTGGGGATGTTTGTTTTGCTTTTTCTCTTTCCTTTCTTGGTTTCCTTCTTCTCTTTTTGACCTTAGACCTTTCCCTGTGAGAAAAAAAGCGCCAGATTGTTATGATCTATATATTTGGATCTTAAAGCTGTCTGCTGCGATTTGCAATTTACTTCATCTTGCAATAGTTTGTGATTCTCTGGTTAGGATTGTGCAAAGTGCCTTGAAGTCTAAAATGCCTGGATCTTTTTCAGCCAGTATTTTTCCATATTTTTTGATTTTTTTTTTCGTTTTTTTTCTTATTTCGCTTAGAGTGCTAAAATTTGTCAGGGTATAATTAGGTAACGCTGAATCTCTCTCTGGAGGGAAAGCATCACCTGATTGTGATGTGCCGTACATTTTATTTTGTCTAAAGGCTGTCTGTCCTGTTCTTGAATCTACTGGTAATCGTCCCTCAAAGCTTTTTTATATGGGCTTGTGCAGAAAGTTCTGGCACCAAAAGTTTCGCCCAATTCTATTCCTTCTACATTTAGATTTTGCGTGTTGGCTACTTAATTTTCCTTGTTTAATGGTTAATCATATAGTTATGGTTAATCACACACCCATGGCTGGGTATTTCCCTGTAATCCAGAATAGCAGGGTCTTCTTCAGC